AGGGAGAATACACACTTAGATAAATGTAATACACGGTGGTATATACACAGTCCCATACCACTGGGCCATTGTGTACCTGCCTGGCCAGGTATGCCAGGTATGGCAGGCCCAGGTCATCTACACACCAGGTGAAATATTGTGTAGCCACTGTGAAGAAGGAGAGGAGTGGTCCCCTGGTCTCGGGTAGGTGTAATGCTAGGAGGGAGTAGGCATGCCCCAGGGGTGGGGGGCAGGAGCTGTGTACATGTGTAGATGAGTTTGGGTTTAATAACTTATATGTATCATTCAGTTGACCAATGTTTTCTACAGTTGTATTATCTTTGTAGTACATCTGTCAAACTTTGACACAGTGACAGTAAGTTTGAAGATGTCTATTGATGATTGCATAACTGTGTCATTGTTACTTTTGGCAGGATATCTGCTTTTGTGATGGAAAATAGAACTGGCTCATGAAGAGTGCATGTATTGCTATCCTGTTTGTATCTCTATATAAGTAGCGATTAGTTCCTGAGCTAACCATGTTGCCATTAGTTACTGAAAGTTATCAAATATTTTTTCTTCTTTTTAAGAAAGAAAGTTATCTGTATATCCATACAAATTTATATGATCATTGAGTTGGTAGGCATTTAATATCATATGATGCTTTTAACATCAAAATACACAAAAAATAACATTACATTATAAACCAATATTTTATATATAATATGTATATACTATAAACTAGTATTCTATTTTTACCTCAGAAACCAGTATACATATTTATGTATATACTATAAATCAATATTCTATTTATACATTATAAACTGGTATTATATATATATATATATATATGTATATACTATAAATCGATATTCTATTTATACATTATAAACCGGTATTTTATATATATACATTGTATATGTATGTATATACTATAAATCAATATTCTATTTATACATTATAAACTGGTTTTATATATATATGTATGTATATACTATAAATCAATATTCTATTTATACCAAGGACTTAGATAACTAATCTAATTCCGTGATTTATACATTATAAACCGGTATTCTACATGTATATATGCATGTATATACTGTAAATCAATATTCTATTTATACATTATAAACCGGTATTATACATGTATATATGTATGTATATACTATAAATCGATGTTCTATTTATACCACAGACTTAGATAACTAATCTAATTCCGTGATTTATACATTATAAACCGGTATTATACATGTATATATGCATGTATATACTGTAAATCGATATTCTATTTATACATTATAAACCGGTATTATACATGTATATATGTATGTATATACTATAAATCGATATTCTATTTATACTATAAACCAGTATACATGTACCTATACTATTCATCGTGATCTTAATTAACCATTATACTATTTATACCACATAAACTAGTATATTTAAACTAGTTTTATAATGTATACCAGTATACTATGTGTTATATATCAGTATACTATTTTATACATTTCAAACCAGTATATATTAAAACTAGCATATAATGTATACTGGTTTTTAGCCCACCATCATCTGATGGTGGGCTATTCAAATCACCCTGCATCCGTCGTCCGTCCATTCTTAAACAATTCTTGTTATCGCTATTTCTCAAGAAGAACCAGAGGGATCTTTTTCAAATTTTATATTTAGGTTCCCCTTGGTCCTTAGCTGTGTAGGGTAACTTTATAGACTGATCGGATAAACAACATGGCCGACAGGCAGCCCTCTTGGATTTTGATATTGAAAGTTTGTTATCGCTATTTCTCAAGAAGAACCAGAGGGATCTTTTTCAAATTTTATATGTAGGTTGCCCTTGGTCCTAGCTGTGCAGGGCAATTTTAGAGACTGATCAGATAAACAACATGGCCGACAGGAAGCCATCTTGGATTTTGATCCCTTTGATCCCTCGTTGTGCATGTTATATTTTGAGACTGATCATAAAAACAAAATGGATAAAAAGAAGAACTAAACAGATCTTTCCAATATTGCAATGATCGATTCTATTTCTTTCGCAATAAGTACTGTACTAGTAAATATGTGAAACGACAAACTCACTTTGAAGGTTGGCTTTCATGCACATCAGTATTAAGTTTAGATCAAAAGTTACCTCAAGGTGTATTTACTGTTAATATGACTCGATCAAACAGATTAGAGGAAAGAAGAGAAAAGATCAAACTGACAAAGAACTAATGAAGATGGTACAAAAGTGGGCGCTAAGATCCCTCTTGGATCTCTTGTTATACAAGTATTATATGTGTACTATTTATACTGCATAAACCAGTATATTTAAACTAGTTTTATAATGTATACCAGTATACTTTGTGTTATATATCAGTTTACTATTTAAACCTCATAAACCAGTATTTTAACATCATATTGTACACTGTAAGAATTACTTCCTTGCCCCATGTATATATTTATATACAGTTGTATGGACCCAATACAACCTTAGAAGGTCACAGTTGTATGGACCCAATACAACCTTAGAAGGTCACAGTTGTGCCACAGCTTTAAAACTTAACAATAATCCCACTTCTGTGTAAGTTACATATGTCCATTTGGAATACTCAATTTTTTGCACTCATTGACTTAAATATTATGACATCACAATCCTATGATGATAATGCTACATTATGATGTCACAATCAAAAGTTTGACAAAATGCTATTGGAAGGGTTCTGCTGATATTGCTGTCGGTAACTTAAATTCATCATAAGAATTATTAGGGCCAGGCATTAGAGATATAGGTGCCCTGTAGTAATCATGGTGACCATCTGTCTTTCTGTCACCTGCTGTCTGTCCGTCTGCAGTTTTGTTTCAAGATATTATCTTAGAATTGATAAAAATTGTGATCTTTTCAAAATTTGACAAGGGTTTTAAAAATGTTGCCAGGTCTCTTGCTGACCTGTCAGTGTACTGTTTTTGCAAAAGCTTTCAATGCAGTCTTGGAAGATTTTTGAAATTGGAGGTACACATATGTGATACAGTAGTTTATCTGCTCTGTCCAAATATGGTATTAGTTCATGTGCTCATTATCTCTTTGGTTTTGACTATGTCCCCACTAGGCACCTGTCTTACAATATGACATGTGATATGCTAAAGAGGTTAAACCCAAGACAAGCAAAGAAAGTCTATACACTTTTCTATGTTGTATACCAATATTGTATCTAGGTATCTTTGTATACATTGTTACACCAATGTTGTATCTATAGGTATACATTGTTACACCAATGTTGTATCTAGGTATACATTGTTACACCAATGTTGAATCTAGGTATCTTTGTATACATTGTTACACCAATGTTGTATCTTGGTATACATTGTTACACCAATGTTGTATCTAGGTATACATTGTT